AAGAAAAAAAAAAAAAAAAAGAATGATAAACAGTGAAGCAAGAGAGTAGCTGACATCCATCACTTTGTTTAATCATATATGAGCTTCTGCTGAGTCAAACTAACACCATGGGAAAAACTTAAGCAGAATTGCTATGACCCCCAACTTCCCTACTAAGGAAGGAATTATTAGATCTAAACATCTTTGTAGGGCCACGCCTTTAGAGGTTGTGGGCCAGACCACCTTGGTAGTAGAGCAGTTAAGTAAGGCTCCCTAAACTAGGGAACGATGATAGGAAGCCCCAGTGCAGCCCTCAGGGAACTGCACCAAGTGTGCCCAAGAAAAGCCAACACCAACCCATGGATATTTGCCTCAGGATGGACCCACAGAAGCATCCAGACAACAGACAGCAGACTGTAAGGAAACTGGTTGTTTTCCTCTCTGGGTGTCGCTGGAATATGCTTTCAGCAGCCAAACAGTATTGGATCACATGTATGGCATAGTTTGCTTTCTTCTTCTAAGTGTTGTTCACCATTAATTTTGGTAAAGCTGGTGTTGCTGTTGATTTCATATGTATGATTGAAAAATGAAAAATAAACCCCAAAAGGAAATGTTAAGCAAAAAAATTATAAAAGGCAAAAAATCCAATTCTTTAGAAATAAAGAGAACAGTAAATTCATTTGATTTAAAAAAAAAAATATATATATATATATGTATATATGTATATATATTTTAGTACCAGGGATCGAATTTGGGTCCCTGCACTTGAGAGGCAGGTGGTGGAATCACTGAGCTAAACCCCCGGCCCGATAAAAATATATTTTAAAAGAAGTCAGCTGGGTTTGTTGGCACACACCTGCAGTCCTGATTACACAAGGGGCTGAGGCAGGAGGATCAATTGAACCTTAGAGTCTAAGGCCAGCTTGGGCAATATAGCAAGATGCCATCTTGGAGGGGGTGGGGAAGCAAGCAACGAAGGGAGTCTAGGTAACTTAGATACAAGAAGGTCAAGGGGGAGAAAAGGCGGCTGCAGACTTTGTTGCAAAGACAAGAAATCATAGGAGAGAACAAGTGGTATCTCTTCCTCACTCAAGTTTGGGGCTGACTTCTTCCACCCCTACTGTAGCAAGACAGATTAACAGGAGAAAGGCATGGCAAATTTAGTGTTTTACACAACACAAGCGTCTTTAGAAATGGGAGTCCAAAGAGTCCAGGAAAATTATGTACTTTTATGGAGGGAAACGATGTGATCCGATAGTGATAAACTCGGGGGAATTGAGCAAGGCCTGTTTTTCCAGATTCTTCTTGAACTCTGGGTATAGGGCAGAATCCCTCTGCAATGAGGGTCTTCTGATCTACTTACAGGGAGGGTCAGTCAGAGAAATCTTTTATGGCCTGTTTCAAAGGAGAAAAGTAGAAGGTCAGCGGTAACCTCCTTGCTTCGGTGGTTTTCTCAATTTCATTCAGCTTAAGACACTCAGAATGCCAAGCTGCCACATTTTAGGGTTTCATGTATTGAGTTCTAATAGGACCAAGGAGCAGTGAATCCTCTACTTGAAAAAGGCAACAGACATGAACATTGGTCAGAAATCTAGCCCCAAAAGGGACTTTCTCAAATGGCCTGTTATCATCTCCAATAACATTTATCCAATGACTATGCAATTATCCAGTCATCTCTTTTTTGGTTTTTTTTGAGACAGAGACTCGCTATGCAGTTCAGTCTGGCCTTGAACTCACTATGTAGCCCAGGCTGGCCTCAAACAAACTGTAATCCTCTTGCCTCAGCCTCCCAACTGCTGGGATGATAGGCAGTACACCATCACAGCCAGCCTATCCAGTTCATCTTACCCTGGGCCATCAGAGAAGATGCACCCTACAACAGACCCGTGATAAAGCCAAAAAGCAGGTGGTTTTTTGTTTTGATTTTTTGAGATAGGGTCTCCCTTTGTAGTTCAGGTTGACCTTGAACTAACTATGTAGCCCAGGCTGGACTCGAACTTGCAGTGATCCTCCTGCCTCAGCCTCCCTAGTACTGGGATTACAGACGTGTACCACCAGACCTGACAAAAAGCAGGTATTTTAAACCCAGACGATACAGCTGCTAGTCAATGGAATTTCTCTACCCAGAGACCACTTGACCTTCTACAAGGCGTTAAAAGCCAGTGATGGTGGCACAAATCTGTAATTCCAGCACTCTGGAAGGCTGAGGCAGGCAGATTGCAAACTAGCAACTTAGTGAGACTCAGGTATCAAAATAAAAAAATTTTAAAAGGGCTGGGGATGTAGCTTAGTGCAAAGGCACTGTATTCAATCCTCAGTGCCAATTTAGAAAAAAAAAAGGTGTTAATACTGCCACCACCAAAGATAGTGAATAAGAAGGCAACAAATAGTCTCTGCACAGACCTGAATCCCCTTCATCTATATTTCTTCTTGTTCATAAAATAGATTCTCAGCTGGGCATAGTAGCAAATGCTTGCAATCCCAGCACTCTGGGAGGCTGAGACTGGAGGATGCAAAGTTCAAGCAGAGACTGGGCAATTTAACGAGATCTTGTCTCAAAATAAAAAATAAAAACAAAAAGACTGGGGATGTAGCTGTATGAAGGCCCTGGGTTCAATCTCCCATCACACATAACACACACACACACACACAGATTCCCTACTACATCAAGGGAAAAACTAGGTCCCAGGAAGATCCACCTGCATCAGCCTCATCTTCACCTGACTTAAATGCAAAGACAATAGTAGAGCCCAGTTGGCAGAGGCCATCAACTACTTAGTGATGAGATCTGACATCGTGGGAAACAGGGACCCAGTCTGAGTTTTGTTATTCACAATGCTGTACTGGAACAGAAAAAGGCTCAGAGCTTATGAAAAAACTAGTTAAATGTATGCTGTTCACTTCTCTGTAATACCAGTAAAACATCCCCTTAACACAGAGGAATTCATTGTAGCATTAGAACTAGTAAACTAAAACCAAGATATAACTTCCTTTCCTACCAAAAAGGTGAAAATACAAAACCACATTCACATACAAAACCTTTGGAATATTTCGAAGCTCATTGAAAATTAGCATTGTTTAATTTCTGAAGATTAAAGAATCCTCACGTTTGGTTGTTTAAGACAGAGTCTTACTTTATAATCCAAGCTTTTCTTAAACTCTCTATCTAGACCAGGCTCAAAATTGTGACTCTTCTGCCTCAGCCTCCCAAATGCTGAGATTACAGACATATGTGACCACACCTACTAAACAAATCATTTTTTGAAAAACACCTTCTATAGATTTTGTGATTGCTAGTAAATTTTTAGCGGTGCTGCAAAAAAAGTTTAATGTTAACAATAATTTCAATATCAAGTATTGTGTCCGTATCAAATTCTTGAACCAACTCAAACTGGCTTTAAAAATAAATTATAGGGCCAGGGATTTAGCTCAGTGGTGCTGCCAACTGTCTCATAAGCACAAAGTTTGATCCCCATACCAAAAAATAAGTTAATTAATTAATTAATTGTAATCACACATAAAAAAAAAAAAACTCAAGCCAGGTATGGTGTCACATACCTGTATTCGCACCACTCAAGAGGCTGAAACAGAAGGATTGCTATGAATTCGTGGGCAGCCTGGAATAATTAGAAAAACCTCGTCTCAAAAAGCCACAAATAAATGAACATAGATAAAGAAACTGAGAGGACTGGCACTCAGTGGCAGAGCCCTTGCCGTATATGAGCAAGGCCCTGATTTTGATCCCTAGCACTACCAAAAACATAAAAGAAAAGAAAAAAAAGGAAGCAGGAAGTTCAAGTACTGGCTGCTTCAGGGGCTCAGAGATATCCTAAAGTAGCAGGGACCTAGAGGCTGTGCCTACAGGTACCCAGTGGGTAAGTAAGCAGGATGAAGTAAGGCCTCTCTGCCTTATCTGCATTCTCCTTTATCACCTTAAACTCTGGGTCAAATCCCTGCTCAGCCCCACACACAGCCATACTCATCACTTAGAGTGCTGTAATATAAGATTTATTAGACCTAATTTATCTGCCCTATCTCATCCCCCTTCAAGACCTAGGGCATTGAGATAAGCTTCACAAGTAACTTTCAGGATATGCAGAAACACCCAATTTCCAGCTTTTACAACATCCAGTTCCAGACCTCTGGAGTGGCACCTAAAAGTCTGGAGTCATTGTTCTACATCCACAGTTACATCTGCTCACAGAAAAACAGACCTGCTACCCCAAGATGGGAACCAAGGATGCCTCCCAAAGCACTCATCTCACAGCAGGAACTGAGTTTTTCCCCTCAAGTAATAAGAATTCTGCCAGAACTCCTCAGAACCAGTCTTGAGATTCCAATCAACCAGATCAGCCAGACCTCATGGTACTGTCAGCTATGCAAATCCCAGCCCTGGCCTTAGCTCTTCAAAAAAAAAAAAGCTTCTATCATACCCTCAAAGACAGATTTTGACCCTCTTTCTCTGCTTCTCAGAGTAGCTGTGCTGATCCCTTCCTGCCCACAACATCACTGCTCCTCTCCTTGACTGGAATTCTGAGACATGGCAGAGCCTGGTCTATTGGGATCCCTGAGTGGGACCTTCTGCCCCCAAACTCCAGGAGCACTATCGTGTCAGTTCTTTCCTTCTGGAGGTACCTCCTTAGCAGTTTCTCATCCTCAGGATGATGACCTCATCTACAACAGGGTGAAATTAGCCTTCATTACCCTCCTGTAGCACTGCCTCAAATCCACAAGCAGTTAGAAATCAGCTGGGAGAGAAGTATGACCGCAGACATAAAGTATAAATAATTCCTTTATTATATAAACAATGAAAGTAGATAAAGTTGGAAAAGTTCACTTTGAACAAAAATTAAATACAGCTGCTCAACATAACAAAACACAATGGCCAATACTTGGATTTTCTCTTCAAATAATGGTACTACATATACACAGCCTGATAACGGGAGTCCTTTTTAAAATGCTGAGAGTCTTATTAAATCTCTAAATTTCCCAGGCTGGGATTTTTACTTTGATCCTCCTGCCTCAGCCTCCCAGAGTGCTCAGATTATAGGCATATGCCACCAAGTTCTTGTAACTTTTTATTGTACTTCATTTTCCTAAAAGTATACTACATTAACCTTTATTTAAATTAATTCTGATATTACACTAATCATAATATTTTTAATGTTTAAATACCATTAGAATTCAACTTTCATCATTTGCGGAAATTTCCATGTGGGCTCAGTGAAAAATGTCCACATATTTTCGTATTTTACACTTCAGAGGAGTCACCTCTAGATGTTTCACCCTTTCCTTCGAAAACGTAAGCAACTCATAAGTTCTCTGAATTTCAGTATCAAGGAGTAGTTACTCATGTTCTCTTTCCATGTTTCATAAGTTCTCAATTTGTTGTAACAACTTCCTTTTTTCAAGTAGAAATCTGATCCAGTTGCTTTTAAATAACTTTCTTTTTTCCATATTTCTTTCCAGGAGCCTTTGAATTTTTCCAAATAACTTTCTTTTTCAGATTCTTCCTTCCATATTCCTTCTCCTTTTTTTATAGCCATTAATTCAGCTCTAAGTAATTTTCTATGAACTGTCCAGTAAGTTTTAGAATTATAATTCAGCCCTTTAACAAGAACAGTTTTGCCCAGGCCTCTTCGCAAAATTTCTTCATTCAGATTCACGCTAAAATATCTACCCTTGAATTTAAAACAAAACAAAACAAAACAAAAAACCACACACATAGAAACTATTTAAGAAAATTGTTATTATATTGTAACATCTTATTTATCTTAAAATCAATCACTTAGGAATTTCAGCCCCTCATAAAAAAAACAAAAATATGAACAAAAGCGTTTTCAGGAGCTAAAAACAACTACTGCTAAGTCCAAGAATGTTATTACTGCAAGAGATTCTTCTCAAAGTCAATCATTTTATGACACAGAATTCTCTACAGATTCTTTTGGTTTCTACCCTCAAAGAAGCATAGAAGCAACAAAGCATAGAAAGAACTTTTTTGGTTTGTTGGTGATTGTTTGCAGAGACAACAGGCACATAATTCTAGCATAGCAAAGGAAAGTAAAAAAGCGAAAAATAGACAAACCCAAAAGGACCTGTTAAAATTAAGGTCAGAATTCTAGTGTCTAGTAGGAAACTACCATGTATGTTTTTTTTCTAGCATGTACATTTTTTTTAAAGACCTCCTTCAAAATAACATAAAAACAGTCTTGGCTCTTGAACCTTCATCCTTCTAGAAATTTCATCCCAGGAACAATTCACTTCCTAATGAAAATGGATACATGGAACTTTTCTCCCACTAATTCATAGTATAGACAAATAAGTCATAGCTAAGTTCAAAAAAAATAAAATTCCAAGTTTAAATTAGAAAACATTTTCTAAGACCACGTAAATGCACAGATAACCTTTTAAAAATATTTGAAAATAAAATTAAATAAATTTTGTTTCTAAATACAGTAATTTCTGATACATGACAAAGTTACAAATGGTTAATAACAGCTAGGAAGGCTTTATCATATTTGTCTCAGTTTTTAAAATTTTATGAGCTCTTTCCATTGAACCAAAAATCAGAATGAAAATTTTAATACCACAATTCATTAAATTCAAACAAGAGTGCTTGTTTCTGTAGCACATATAATAAAATACAAACAAGAGAAGTAAACATTCATAAATAAGCATACAGCATGGTTTGTTAACCTAGGAAGCAATGTAAGGTAAAGGTATCTAAGATAAGAAGAGCTGGGCTTGAATACAGGCTTTCCCATTTGGTTCCTCTGGTCAAAGCAATTACCTTTCCTACCAATTCCACCTGTGAACAGGTAAAACTCCATGGGGTAGTCATGAGGATAAATGAAGTAATATAGCATAGCATTTGACTCAGTGTCTGGCACATAGCAGACATTCAAAATATTATGTTATCTTCATTACGATAATCATCTTTTTTGATAATGGTTACTCTTCAATTGAAAAGAGAACCTAATATTTCTATAAGGTTTTGGTGATGTTTGATACAACTTGGTATGATAAAATTACTTTAAGATGCTTCAGCTAATTAGTTTAGGATAATTCTTATTTTGAAAGAATTCGATATGATCTGGATATACAAAAATTAATAGATTTCATTAAACTTCCTGTTAATAATTCAAAGTTTAAACAATTTAAATTCTAATCATTTTAATGAGGTTTTTTTCAGGTTATTCTTGTTTATTATATAAGGGCTTTAAAAATAAGAAAAACTAGAAAGTCTGGTCTCAATCTTGTCGTAGTATTTTAGCCATTTCATTTTTCTATATTCCCATTTCAGTAATCACCCAAATACACAGATTTTAATATAGTTAGTAATCAGTCCAGATACAATCTGTATTCTGCTTTTCTTTTGTTTTTGTTTTTTGAAACAGGGTCTATGTAGTTCAGTTTGGCCTTGAACCACTAGGCAACCCAGTGATCCTCCTACCTCAGCCTCCTGAGTGCTAGGGTTATATCACGCCCAGCTTTACATTTTTTTGTACTCTTTTATCGGTTACATAACCCCTGTACACAGCACCCATTCTTAACACCAACAAAAGTTTCCCCACAATAGAATACTTACTGCCTTGTAATAAATCAACAGTTTACTCAATACAAGCTCCCACCTCCCTGCCATCTTTGGATTTAGAGCTATCTGAATCCGTCAGTCTTAAATCACAATTCCCAAGAGCCCATATAAAGTTCTTTGTAATTTTCCTGAATTTGAACTGTTTCACAGAACTGGGTATTAGACTAGGCTGAGCAATATGTTTACCTATAGAAAACACCATTGCTCTTCATAATTTTTGGGTGATAAGACTCACTCAACAAGTGGTTTCTACCAACAAGTGTGATGGACCAAACCCACGCAAATATAAATATACAAAGAGACTCTTCAATTTATCAATGCCTGGTCATTGGTAGTTAGAAGATTTTTCTTTTTTCACAAACTTCTATAATAAGCATGTATTAGATATGTAACTAAAGTTTAATAACTACATATATGTGTGTGTATATATATATATACACACACATATATGTAGTTATTAAACTTTAGTTACATATCTAATACATGCTTATTATAGAAGTTTGTGAAAAAAGAAAAATCTTCTAACTACCAATGACCAGGCATTGATAAATTGAAGAGTCTCTTTGTATATTTATATTTGCGTGGGTTTGGTCCATCACACTTGTTGGTAGAAACCACTTGTTGAGTGAGTCTTATCACCCAAAAATTATGAAGAGCAATGGTGTTTTCTATAGGTAAACATATTGCTCAGCCTAGTCTAATACCCAGTTCTGTGAAACAGTTCAAATTCAGGAAAATTACAAAGAACTTTATATGGGCTCTTGGGAATTGTGATTTAAGACTGACGGATTCAGATAGCTCTAAATCCAAAGATGGCAGGGAGGTGGGAGCTTGTATTGAGTAAACTGTTGATTTATTACAAGGCAGTAAGTATTCTATTGTGGGGAAACTTTTGTTGGTGTTAAGAAGAAGACAAAAATTTCAGCATCCTATATTTAAAGTTTAATTAAACACTGTATTTAAATGTAAAAATAAAAGACTCTGTTATTTCTTCATACTACTTACCTTATTCACTAAAATGTAGCAAAACAGCATTGAATTCTCCTTTCCAAGAAGTTGGAACCACAGTAGTTGGGAAGCTTTGAGCTCTTTTTGTAACCATACCTTCCCAGCTTCAGTGAGTTCTACTCCAGCCAGCTTAACCAGCAAAACACTGTATTTAAATGTAAAAATAAAAGACTCTGTTATTTCTTCATACTACTTACCTTATTCACTAAAATGTAGCAAAACAGCATTGAATTCTCCTTTCCAAGAAGTTGGAACCACAGTAGTTGGGAAGCTTTGAGCTCTTTTTGTAACCATACCTTCCCAGCTTCAGTGAGTTCTACTCCAGCCAGCTTAACCAGCAAAACACCACATGGCTCTTCTAAAGAGAGGTATAGTTTAAGAAGACAAAAATTTCAGCATCCTATATTTAAAGTTTAATTAAACACTGTATTTAAATGTAAAAATAAAAGACTCTGTTATTTCTTCATACTACTTACCTTATTCACTAAAATGTAGCAAAACAGCATTGAATTCTCCTTTCCAAGAAGTTGGAACCACAGTAGTTGGGAAGCTTTGAGCTCTTTTTGTAACCATACCTTCCCAGCTTCAGTGAGTTCTACTCCAGCCAGCTTAACCAGCAAAACACCACATGGCTCTTCTAAAGAGGTCAGGCAGAAAGAGTTCAAGTTTAAGAGCTTGTTGCAAAAGCAAATTCTAAAGCCACTCACCTCCCCCACAACACCTCAGAAAACTCCAACATAGTGTGCTTATTTATAAGTACTCAGTCTCTCTAAATATAGGTCTGTTTCTTTTTTCTTTTTCTTTTTTTTTGGCAGTATTGGAGGTGAACCCAGGGCCTTTGTACTGAGTGAGCTACTACATCCTTCCCCTCACCCCAGGTACCAGAGATCAAACTCAGGACTTTGTGCTTTGAAGTTAGGGGTGCTGCCACTAAGCTGAATCCGTGGCCCTCTTTTTTATATTGTGATCCAGGTCTCAGTCACTAGGTTATCCAGGTTGGTCTTAAACCTGTGATCCTCCTGCCTCAGCCTCCCAGAGTACTGGGATACAGGCATGCACCACCATGCCTTGCCTTATTTATTTCTATATTCAAGATTTCTTTTAAAATAATACAAGCAAAATAAATAAATAAAACAATACAAACATATAACAGATGGAATAATTTCAAAAGCCCATTTCTTCAAGCTCAGGAACAGGAAAAGAGACTTAACCAACTTAACCTTTTTTTAACCTTCTAGACTTTTTCCTACACATATATAGGTAAAGCTATATACATAGTTTAGTAATGGGGACTGTTACTACTAGAACTACAGAAATTGTTTTTCAGGGCCGGGGATTTAGCTCAGCGGTTTGGTGGCCTGCCTCGCAAGCACAAGGACCCTAGTTCAATCCCCGGTACCAAAAAAAAACAAAAAACCCACGAAATTGTTTTTTCATCTAAATGAAGTTGTCAACTATTGAGGATATCCTCCCATGTCAAAAAATATCGATCAACGTTATTGTAAGTATTGCTTCTTATATAAAATAACAATATTTTCTTATGCACAAAAACATCATTACTACTTTTTTTAAACGTATTGTGAAATGCCTTCCAGACAAGAATTTTATCAATTTATATTCAAGGTACTATACTTGGAAGGTCTATTTCCCCAAAACTTTGATAAAATTTTAACCAAGTTAACTTTAATGACAGTGTTTCATTTTATTTATTCATTTGTTTTTAGGAGATAGTCTTGCTATACTGCCCAGGCTGGCCTTGAAACCCATGGCTCAAAAGATCCCCGTCTCAGCCTGCAGAGTTCAGTCCCACAAGCATGTTCCACCCCTGCTCTTACTAAAAGCTAATCCTTCTCATTCTTTGGGTCTACCATTAAGCACAAACTCCTTACTGTGGCCTTCTCTGACTACTCTGTAGATGTGATAATAAAATATGGTGAATATTGATGTATTTTTTTAAATGGTAGCAAAGTTTCCTCATTTATTAAAAGTAGGACAAAAACAGGCTCTGTAGAGTGAGTTTGACCTGAGTAAAAAGGGAAAAGGGAGAAAAAAAATACACTTGATGGCTTAAGGTAGACTACCATGAAGAAACATAATAGCTATTGAATATTTTTAAAAATTTTATTATGGTAAAAGACAAGTTAAATCTCCCTGAGAATGCTCCTCCTTGCTTCAAACACACATGAAATTCTTCTTGCCACTTTCTGAAGCAGTTCTGGGAGTCCTCTTTCATGAGTGTCTTTTCAGCTGTGGTGCTATTCCTGCCTCAATGTCCTGAATTGATTCAAAATATTTACCTTTCATGGTCATTTTGACATTGTGGAAAAGCCGTAAGTCATATAGTGTCAGATCCAGTGATAAAGTGCATGAGGATACATCATAATATTTTTATGCGCCTGCCTTCCTAACAGATGGCACTCAGCAGCAGCATTCACTGTATTTTTCATCACACTTCATAGACTTGAATGAAAGAGGATTTCTAGAACTGCTGCAGAAAGTAGCAAGAACAATGGGATGTACATGTTTGTAGTGAGAGGGAGAATTCTGAGGGGAACCAATAACAATTTGGCTTTTACTGTAACAAACTTAAAAAAAATCTAAACATGTACTATATATTTTGATCATACTTCATGTATATTTGCCTACTGCTGACCAAATTCCCCAATAATGCTCTACTCTAAGACTCTGTTCCTTTTCTGTAAAGCTTTTAGAAAAATTTTCACTTGTTTACTATCTTCCACAGAGATCATAAACTCCCAAGGCTTAGAGGGCCCTTATCTGTTTACTCAGCATTATAGATTAGTTTAGTTCTAAGAAAGTTGAAAGACTGAGGAAGACTGAGGAGTTGAATTTAAAAAGAAAGAGAAAGAAAGAAAGAAACCCTGGAGACAAACTAAATAGTTCCTTGTATATAAGGGCTCAGAATTTCTCTCATAGACAAAGGAGGGTAATCAGGATTTCAAATGCCATTTTTTCAATTTTAGAAATAACATCTAGTTATTTAATAGTAATAACAATAACAGCTAGTCTTAATTTTTTTGCATCTTACTTACTTCTCCAAGAAGATATAATAGGTAAAGTAATGGGAATATGTTCGATTTCTAAACCATTCTCAGTTATCCGGTGTAATCGTCCTTGTAATTTAACATTCTTTCTTATAAATTCTGCTGGAATATCTGAAGATCTTGTAAATTTTGATGTCTATAGATTTATAAGGAGAAAAATATAAACCTGGGTTATTATTTTCATTTGGAATTTAAAATGTGACATTGTTATCTAAACATCACAAGACGTACTTGGGCTGGGGAAGTAGCTCAGTGGTAGAGCACTTGCCTAACACGCATGAGGCCCTGGGTTCTATTCTTAGTATTGCAAAATATAAAAACAAAAATCAAAATAAGAAAAAAAAACACTGAAAATTTTTAATTTGCTTATTTTATAGTAGTACTTTTATATGGTTTAATCTAAAGTGCTTTTAGGAATAGTTAGAAGTCATTATTCACTATTTTGCTATTTCAAGCTACTCTGTGATATATTAAACCTAAAACCTAAACAAAGCTGAGACAAATTAAACTAGATCCTTAACCAACAAGATATTTTTTTCACTTTCCTTTTACTCTTTTAGGGGAAAAAGACAAAATTTTTAGAAAGAAAGAGGGCCAATATTAGGAATTTATTTCAATCCCACACTTAGGTGATGGTCTAGGGTTAGTCAACGCTTTGTGTGCTTCCTCCCTATTAACAATGCAACAAGCTTCGTTCATAATCACGGCTAAAACTTCACATAATGGAAGGATAAATTAGTATCTGACTTCTAGGGCATAAAATTTAACTGAACATTTTTTTAAAAAAATAAGAATAATGTAGACCATCAGGGCTTTTCTCACAATAGCCCACTCTGCATCCTCCAGGGTGCACTTTTACTTTGCTTTTTCCTCTTTTACTCAGTCCCAGCTCACTCTGCAGAGCCAGTTTCTCCCTCACTCTTCACTTTTTTTCAAATGAACTTTTTAAAAAACAACAATAATGTAGACAACCATAATATGAAAATATATTGTGGGTAAATGACTTAGTTTCTCTAGAAAATTAATAGCTTGAGAAAGAAAGGGGGTTGTGTGCTATAAATGAATAAAAATGAGATGTAAACAATAAAACAAATATACATACCATTAGAATTCTGACTTGTACAGATCACCTATTTAAAGATGCTACTGTGACAATTATGAAAATCTGGATGTGGAATTGGTCTTGGATAATACTAAAAGATAACTGTAATTTTCTTAGGTGTGATAATAAGACATACTGACATTATGAATCTTGATGCCATTAAATGGGAAGCATATAACATCACCTTGCAAAAATGTTTATATGAATTTAATGAAGAAGCACCATGCTGGATTATGAGATATTCTACACGATAACTTTCAAAAATTTGAAAGAAAAAAGTGGAAATAATATTCTAGATTAAAACAGACTAATAATACATGCAATTAATTATAATGCATGATTTTTGCCTTCACACTAAGCTCCATCCCTGGCTCTTTTCTTTTTTTTTTTTTTTTAATTTTGAGATAGTCACTAATTATCCAGGCTGGGTTCAAATTTTTAATCCTCCTGTTCCAGCCTTCTACACAGCTAAGAATCCAACACTGCAAAAGTCCTGAGTTCAATGCCACAGATTGCACAAGAAAAAATAAAGGACAGTTTTGAGAAAAAAAAAAAGAAACATGAACTGTATTTTAAATAATGGTATTACTTACAAATATGATTGTAATTATAAGAGATAGTACCTAGAGTAATCAAAATTGTAGAGAAATCAAAAGGAATAATGGTTGCCAGGAGCCGTGAGGAAGGAAAACAGGAGTTATTGTTTAATAGGTACAGAGTTTCAGTTTTGCAAGATGAATAGAGCTCTGGAGATGGATTGTGGTTAATAGTGACATAACAGTATGAATAAATCTAATACCACTGAACTTTATGTACACTGAAGTGATTAAAATGATAGACTTTATGTGTATTTTACAATAAAAATGAAAAACAAAATACACTTGTAATTCTTGATTTACAAGAAATCTTACAGGTGGAAATCTACATCTATTATTAAAACATAATTGTGCTGGGCATGGTGGTGCAAGCCTATAATCCCAGCACTCGGGAGGCTGAGGCAGGAGAATCACTGTGAGTTCGAGACCAGCCTGGGCTACACAGTGAGTTCCAGGTCAGTCTCAACTACATAGTGAGACCCTGTCTCAAAAAAACAAAAAAACAACAACAAAAACAAACAAACAAAAACCCATATTTGAAAGGACCAAAAAAACCCCCACTAATCAAAGCATAAATTATTCAGTGCTAAGGGACATAATTAAACTGTAATCCAAATCTAAAAGAACCCTTAAAAAGTACTTTTGAGGTATCCACAATATCTGAAATACAAATTTAGTGATTACAACATTCTAACAAGGTAAATCCTTTTCAGATTAATTTTAAATATAAAAAAAGATTATGGAAATACATCCTGTACAATCACTTTCTGTAAAAGCCTGTGGATGCTACATTAAAGTCAATATTTTAAAATATAACATTATTCTAAAATACTATCTAAAAGCTTCACATTTGAGTAACAAAATGATGCACTGCTTGAGATGAAAACTGTCTGAAGAATAAATGAACTGTCTATTGCCTTTTTCATTTTTTAACTCACCAGTCGAACACTTCTTAGAAATAACATTATTCCAGCTATGGCCATCCCAGTGCTGATGTTCTACAGAAAGAAATTTAATGATTAATTATCACTTAATTATTCATGATGTGAACTATTAATTAGAAGGGAGCAAAAAGTCTCTTTCTTCCCTATTTCTAACAGTATAACAGATATCATTCAAATGACTCACTTTTCCCCAAAACTTCGTCTACCCACCCATTAATCTTCTCCCAGTCTTTTCCAGTCCGGCATACACAGTACTTTTATTATTGTACTTTATCTATTAGTTCCTTGAATGCACGACTGGTCCAATACTCCTTGCACAGTGCCCACAAAAATGAGCATAACTTTGCATTCATGGTGAGAATTTACATGCTTGGCAGAAAACCTTAATGTTACAATGCTAAAATATACCACCTTGACAAATATATGTGGGTGAATGTAGAGGGAAAACAGTGATATTTTTAAAGTGCTTTCTTTAAACTAAGGACCTAAATGAAAAAATTAAGAATATTACCACTCCCTCAAAAACAGTGATAATCTAACATACTTTCCCCTTCAATAAACACTAGGTATGTAATAACAGGGTACATTCTTTGGTTTCCGTGATCAGGTTATTTCAAATAATACATTCATGTACTAAATAGACAGTTTATTCCCACAATCCTCCTAAGGTGTTTTGGGGGACACGGTGCAGGGATCTGAACTCAGGCCCGCATACATGCTAAGCACACTACCACTGAGCTACACCTCAGCCTTCAGGCCAATTTTTAACTTCAAATAAGCCACATATCCACTTCTGAATTGGAAGAAATAAGGCCTGATCAATTAACATATATATGTCTTTAGGTTTATCATTCATTAGTGCTACATATATTTATCTAGCACTTTCTAAGTGTCAGGTACTACTTCAAGGAGTAGAGCTGAGAGTAAATACACATGGCCTTGTTTGTACCGTGTTGCTTCTCTGCAGCGCAATTTATTCAACTTCTCAGCGGGATTTTAAAAGTTAATCAATCATTTTTTCCCAAAGCCATATTCTTTTCACTTGGCTTCTGGGAGAACTGGCTTTTCCTCCCCTCTCGCAGCTCCTTATAGTCTTTGCTGGTCTCCTCCTTTTCACGCCCCAAATGTTGGATGCCCATAGGTCACAGTTGTAGGGCTTCTTCCCTGGCTTTTTTCATCTGCTCCGAGAGCCGCTCAAGTCCGGGGCTTGAAACACTACTTATGGCTTGTGCCACTCATTCTCAAAATTACGTGTCCAGCTCTGACTTCACTTGCACACCAGACTAGCCTCGAACAGCCTTTTGTAATTCTGCTTAGAAGTCTAACTAATGGTCTTCTTCAAGCTCTCACATCCAGCTCAAAAACTCAAGATTTTTCCAACCAATCATAGCCTCCAACTCCTATCACCCACCGTCGCCATCGCCAACCAGGCAACGGGTCCGCCCCCCACCACCACCTTGGTGGCCCTAGAGTCCCGCCCTTGCCTCTCCCCTCACTTCACTCACACCAAGGCCCGGGGCTCCTCCGCCCTTAAGCGGGCGTCCCGACCGCCCCGAGGGACGGCTGAGACTCGAGGCGAGGCGTCGCTCAGGGAGG